CGAGCCCAGTTGTCCTTACTGGGCACTCAGACGCTTCTTGGGTTGACGACCTGGCTACTCAGCGGTCGTCACAGGGTTACACCTTCAGCCTTGGCTCTGGTTCAGTTTCGTGGCGTTCTACATGCTCGTCTTCAGTTCTCGGCTCCAGTTGTGAGGCTGAGATCTACGCCACTGCCATGGCTGCACAGGAGTTACGCTGGCTCACCTACCTGCTGACTGACTTGGGAGAGCAGCCTCGTTCTCCTCCAGTGCTGTACGTTGACAACAAGGCCGCCATTGCCTTGTGTGAGGAGCACAGACTGGAGCACAGAACGAAGCACATTGCTCTGCGGTACTTCCTGGCTCGAGAGTTGCAGCAGCGAGGCCAGCTTCGTCTTCGCCACGTGGCCACTCGGGCCAACACTGCTGACATATTCACCAAGGCACTTCCGTCTGGTGATCATCAGCGCTTTTGTACTCTGTTAGGCCTTGTGCCTACGTTTCCACACTTGCTGTAGTCTCTGCTTGTACTGTGATCTGTACATATATATATATATATATATATATATATATATATATATATATATATATATATATATATATATATATATATATATATATATATATATATATATATATATATATATGCATGCTGGCTCTTGCTAGGTAGCCATCACTGTACTGTTATTGCTGCATATATATCTCTGCATGTGAACTGGCCCAGTGGCCCTTTGCTTGTGCTCAGAATGCGTGGTGACGTTGTGATCCACCCTGAGCTTGTTTTGCTTCTCTTGACTGGTCGTGTGACCCCTTGTTCTCCCCCACTTTGCCTATGGGGGTGTGTCAAACTATATGTGCTGCATATTGTCTAGGCTGTAGTGGGGTAGCCCATATGGGGTACAACCTAGTTAGGGTTTACTACTTGTACTCCTGCATCCTGTTAGTTCACCCATTCCTGCTGCTAGATTCTAACAAGGGCACATGATATGATCAAACCTGGTTTGTGTTTCTGAGACTTTTCAAACAGACGGTTCTTTCCTAAATACCGTATAACCCCGGATATAGGCGCATGTGCGCTTATAATAAAACCGGTTTTTTTAGGGGGGGGCGCTTGTAATTGAGTCACGGCCATAAGCGCCGGCGCTTATATAATGACAAGTACAGATATACAACTTAAACGCATCAAAATGTACACATTTCAGTCTCGGTAGTTCAATCGAGTCGATATTTTAAAGCGTCCAGAATCAGAATCGCGTGAGGGCGATTCGCTGACGCTGCACAGAGATTTTTACACGTCAATTTGCCAGCGTGCCACCTCATCCTGACTGGACGCGAAAGCAGTCAGGACCGCGAAAGTCAAACAAAGTGAAAATGGGTGCTGACTCGCTTGAAATTCAAAACTCGTTACCGCTTTAATCAGGATTGAAACATAATATTATGGATGCGCTTATAATAAATCAGGGTTTCACAGGGGGGGCGCTTATAATCGAGTTCCGGCCATAAGCGCCATGCTCCAGATAGAAGCGCCGGCGCCTTTAATTGGACGGCGCTTATATCCGGGGCGATACGGTAAGTACCCTATGTGTTCAGCGTGTGTTAGGGTGTGTTTGGGGCTTTGCACCTGGCTCACAGTGGAGGAGACCCAGCAAACAGAGGGAAAGAAGGGCGAGTGGGGAGTGAGAGAGATGTTAGAAAAGGCTAAGGAGGGTCTTGACTGAGGAGGGACTTGCGAGGAGTTTGGAGAAAGGAGAGTTAGTTGGACTATCGAGAAAGAAGTTACAACTACTATGTACGGTATCTGTAAATACTAGTTATACATCACGTCAAGTGGTCGTTATCAATAGCATAGCTACTCTACTTCTAGGTTGGTGCCATAGCATGGAATTTTGCAATCAGAATTGAATCATATTGTGTAGAAGTACATGTATCAGCTTTGGCCCTTGTCGCATGAGCGGGTAGCACGTGTACCGGGATTGTTGTGGTTTTGAATGTTTGATATTTCAAGCACCAAATCTCCCAAACGAAGCGCGTCCCCCTCCCAACCCATTGCCTTGCCAGCCACCATGCCACACTTCACATAAAACCTGCAGCCTGAATTACATTTTTGAGTCAACGCTAGGTGCGGGTTGGGTTCGGTTTGGTTTGGGTGAGGTTTGTAAGAATCGCGAAAGTTGCGAGCTAGCGAAAACAAAAAGCGACAACCTGAGGGCTGGAGCAGAGTAGGAAAATCGGTGCGACATAACAGCTAACAACTCATTCACTCGTGGAAATACAAGCAACACACACCAGCTAGGGTTTTTTAGTGAACACATCTCAGACAACCCGAATTAGTAGATGCAGCGCGTATATGCAATCGAAGGGAAACGCAGGCGCAAGATGCGAGTGTCAAGCACGGAGAAAATGGGCGTGAGGAGATGAGAAATTAGCACTTTGCCGACCTCGCGACCCTCGACTGTCGCCCTTGCTCTCTCCGCCCACCGCCCTCGCCTCGCCCGTCGCCCTCGCCACCCCCGGCCCGTCGCCCTCGCTTCCTCCGCCCGCCCTCGCTTCTCCCATCCCGTCGACCTCGCTTCCCTCGCCCGTCGCCCTCGCTTCCCCCGTCGTCGCTCTCGCTTTCCCCGCCTACCACCCTCGCCTCGCCCGTCGCCCTCGCTTCCTCCGCCCGCCGACCTCGCTTTCCCCCGCCCGTCGCCTTCGCTTCCCCCGCCCGTCGCCTTCGCTTCCCCCGCCCGTCGCCTTCGCTTCCCCCGCCCGTCGCCCTCGCTTCCCCTCCCCATCGCTCGCCCGGTGGACCTCTCCTCTCCCACCTGTTGCTGCGTCGACGTCGTCCTCATTCCCATCTTATTCGCCCTCTCTTCCTCTCTCCGTCGCCCATGCCCATTCCCCTCTCTCGCGCCGACGCCCTGGTTTTCCACCCCGCTATAGTTCCCCCCCCTGATTGCGCTCAGTTTATCCCCCTGATTGCGCACAGTTTTCCCCCCTGCGTACGCTCAGTTTCCCCCCAGATTGCGCTCAGTTTCCCCCCCTGATTGCGCTCACTTTCCCCCCCTGATTGCGCTTACTTTCCCCCCTGATTGCGCTCACTTTCCCCCCCTGATTGCGCTCACTTTCCCCCCCTGATTGCGCTCACTTTCCCCCCCTGATTGCGCTCACTTTCCCCCCCTGATTGCGCTCACTTTCCCCCCCTGATTGCGCTCACTTTCCCCCCCTGATTGCGCTCAGTTTCCCCCCCTGATTGCGCTCACTTTCCCCCCCTGATTGCGCTCACTTTCCCCCCTGATTGCGCTCACTTTCCCCCCCTGATTGCGCTCACTTTCCCCCCCTGATTGCGCTCACTTTCCCCCCCTGATTGCGCTCACTTTCCCCCCCTGATTGCGCTCACTTTCCCCCCCTGATTGCGCTCACTTTCCCCCCCTGATTGCGCTCACTTTCCCCCCCTTATTGCGCTCACTTTCCTTCATGAATGTCTACCGTCACCCCCCTGCGTACCCTCCCCCCTTTCCTATCACCCCTTCACCCTCTCCCCTTTCTTTCTATCTCTGTCGATCCCTCCCTCCTCTTTCTCTTTCTATCCCTGCCTGCCGCTCTCTCCCTCCTCTCCCCACTCCCCGCCCTCTTTCCCCCCACGGGGCAGGCGAAGATGGTGGACGTGGCATGTGAGCACGCCGAGAAGGTCAATCTCGACGTGCACACGCCAGGCAGCGGCGGAGGCGTGGCGGCGCTGTTCGGCGAGGGCAGCACGGACAAGGCTGCTCTGGCCCGCATGGCTGAGCAAGAGAAGCTTCTCAGACATGCACTGGCCACGGGCGAGGGTGTGAGAGAGGGAAGGGCGCTGGTGCCAGTTGCTGTGTTTTGACCCATCTGCCGCTTCACACACTCCTGCCCCCCCTGTTCACTCTCTTTTCACCTGTTCTCACCCCTCTTTCCCCATGCTGGCTCTCTTTCAGCTCTCTTTCTCCCTTTGCTCAACCCCCTTCCTCCCGGTTCGCTCTCATTCCCAACGCTCACTCTTCTTCGAGCTTCCCCTCTTCGTCGCCCTCGCTTCCTTTACCGTTGCCCATGCCCATTCTCTTCCCCCTTGCTCATTCTCTTCCCCCTTGCTCATTCTCTTCCCCCTTGCTCGTTCTCTTTCCCCTCGCTCGTTCTCTTTCCCCTCGCTCGTTCTCTTTCCCCTCGCTCGTTCTCTTTCCCCTCGCTCGTTCTCTTTCCCCTCGCTCGTTCTCTTTCCCCTCGCTCGTTCTCTTTCCCCTCGCTCGTTCTCTTTCCCCTCGCTCGTTCTCTTTCCCCTCGCTCGTTCTCTTTCCCCTCGCTCGTTCTCTTTCCCCTCGCTCGTTCTCTTTCCCCCTTGCTTATTCTCCTTCCCTCTTCTCATTTTCTTTCTCCCTTGCTCATTCTCCTTTCCCATGGTCATTCTCTTCCCCCTTGCTCATTCTCGTCCCCCTCGCTCGTTCTCTTTCCCCCTTGCTCATTCTCCCCCCTTCCTCATTCTGTTTCCCCGGCTCAATCACTTCCCCCCCTTCTCTTCTCACTCTCTTCCCCCTTGCTCACTCGCTTCACTTCTGCTCACTCTGTTTCCCTCTGCTTCCTCTCTTCCCCCCTTCTCACTCTGTCCCCCGCTGCTTCTTCTCTTCCCTTCTGCTCATTCTGTCTACTGTCTTTCCCCCTTCACTCACCCCCGTATCCCCCAATGCAGGGTACAGGTGCCCAGCTCGAGATGTTGTGGCTTTACTACGGCCTGGTTTATTGCTTGCAGTATAGCAGGAAAAAACGGGAAGCAACATTACACCCCCCCCAACTTAGGTCTTTTATAAAATTGAGTGATTCCCCTCACTTTTACCGTACAAGAAGTACTAGTAAATAATTTGTTGCACTCGGTGGTGGTCATGTGTATGACTGCTCTGAAGCTCATAATGCTGTATCAAAAAAAACAATCCGATACATGGCATGTCTATACGTCGTGTTCCTGACAACCACAACACAACCAGATGAAGAGAAGACCTGTACAAACACAAACCAGGAAGTCAGATGTGACGTGGCTGAAGTGGCTGATGCAAAAGAATGACAACTGACAAATGATGAAGGGAGGAACGGAGGAAGGGAGGAAGCGAGGAATGCAGGAATGAAGGAAGGGAGTTAGTGATGGTTGGGGGAAGGGAGGTAGGGAGGACGTGGGGGAGAGAAGCAGAAGGGAGGGGAGGAAGAGAGGCTGGGGAGGAAAGAGGGGAGGAGAAAGGGTGGCAGGGAGGAATGAGGAAGGAGGATGGGAGGATCAAAGTGAAGAGACATGGAGGAAAGGGGCAACGGGATGGGGGAAGGAAGGGATAAGAAGAGGAGGGGACAGGGAGACGAGGGGATGGGAAGAAGAGGGGGCAGGGAGAGGAGGGGATGAGAAGAGGGGATGGGGAGAGGAGGGGATGGGGAGAGGAGGGGATGGAGAGAGGATGGGATGGGGTGAGGAGGGGATGGGGAGATGAAGGGATGGGGTGAGGAGGAGATGGGGAGAGGAGGGGATGGGCAGAGGAGGGATGAGGTGAGGAAAAACCAAGAGAGGATGGGTTTGAAAGAGGAGTGGATGCGTATAGGAGGGGAGGGGGAGAGGAGGGGACGGGGAGAGGAGGGAACGGGGAGAGGAGGGAACGGGGAGAGGAGGGACGGGGAGAGGAGGGAACGGGGAGAGGAGGGGACGGGGAGAGGAGGGGACGGGGAGAGGAGGGACGGGGAGAGGAGGGAACGGGGAGAGGAGGGGACGGGGAGAGGAGGGAGAGGAGGAGATGGAGATGGGGTGATGAGGGGATGGGGTGAGGAGATGGGGTGAGGAGATGGGGTGAGGAGGAGATGGGGTGAGGAGGACGGATGGGGAAAGGACGGATGGGGAGAGGAGGGATGGGGAAAGGTGAGGAGGGATGGGTTTGGGGCGGAATGGGGTGGGGCGGAACGGGGATGGGGAGGTGAGGGATGGGTAGAAGAGGAATGGTAAGATGAGAGACTGGGAGGTGAGGGATGGGGAGATGGGGGATGGAGAGGGTAAGGGATGGGGAGGCGGGGATGGGGAGGTGAGGGATGGGGAGGGAAGGGATGGGGAGGCGGGGATGGGGAGGCGGGGATGGGGAGGCGGGGATGGGGAGGCGGGGATGGGGAGGCGGGGATGGGGAGGCGGGGATGGGGAGGCGGGGATGGGGAGGCGGGGATGGGGAGGCGGGGATGGGGAGGCGGGGATGGGGATGCGGGGATGGGGAGAGGAGGGAACGGGGAGGGGAGGGGACGGGGAGAGGAGGGATGAGGTGGAGATGGGGTGATGAGGGGATGGGGTGAGGAGATGGGGTGAGGAGGAGATGGGGTGAGGAGGAGATGGGGTGAGGAGAGAGGACGGCAAGCAAAATGGGGTGAGGCAAAAGGGGGGGGCGGGTGAGGCGGAATGGGGTGAGGCGGAGTGGGGTGAAGCGGAACGGGGTGAGGCGGGACCCGGGTGAGGCGGAATGGGGTGAGGCGGAGTGGGGTGAGGCGGAACGGTGAGCTGGGCGACGGAAAGAGAGTTTGCGTGGGCGACTGGAGTGAGGGAGTGAGCGTGGACGACAGGGGGATTGCACGTCACAATTGTTGGGGAGGGAGAGTGCTCGTTCGAGATGAGGAGATGAGGCACGGAGTGGGTAGACATGGGGAGGTGAGGGACGGGGAGGTGAGGGACGGGGAGGTGAGGGATGGGGAGGTGAGGGATGGGGAGGTGAGGGATGGGGAGGTGAGGGATGGGGAGGGAAGGGATGGGGTTGCGGGGATGGGGAGGGAAGGGATGGGGTGTAGAACGATGGGGAGGGGAGGGATGGGGGGGCGGCGATGGGGTGAGGTAGAATGGGGTGAGGCGGAATGGGTGAGGCGGAGATGGTCCCTCTCACGACGTCGCGGCGCCGCCGCCTCAGCTTGACGAAGAGGGAGTGACAGCGGTGTTGTGGCAGGTAGCACGCCAACACTCCTCTGCCCCGCGTCAACCCTGTCCCTGGTGGCATGGGATAGGGTGGTGTTGACGGGGGAGAGGCAGGGATGGTGAGATGGAGAGGGGGACACAGGGCGGGTTTCTGCATCATTTACAGCAACAGCAGCAGGGATGGGGTGGGGAGGGATGGGGAGGGGAGCGATGGGGAGGTAAGGCATGGCGCTTCACATTGGAAATACTCCTCTGCGTTGTCGTACGCTGCATGCGCTGGATGGGGAGCAGAGGAAATGGGGTGAGGATACGAATAGGGCGGACGTGCGGCCATGATTTGGGAGAACGAGAGGCGATGAAAAGGTAGAGCGCAAGCGGCTGTGTGCGACGGGGGGGAATCGGCCGTGTGCGGCGAGCGGGGGTGAGCGTGTGCGACCGAAGGATTGCGCAATGGCGACGGAATGGGAAGAGATTGAGCGTGGGCGACGGGAGTGATTGAGCGTGGGCGACGGAAGTGATTGAGCGTGGGCGACGGAAGTGACTGAGCGTGGGCGACGGAAGTGATTGAGCGTGTTCGACGGATTGCGCGAAGGCGATGGAAAAAGAGTGAGCGTGGGCGACGTAAGAGAGTAAGCACGGGCGAGGGAGTTAGCGTGGGAGAGGGAGTTCGCGTGGGCGACGGTAAGGGAGTAAGCGTGGGCGAGGGAAATTATTGAGCGTGGGCGACGGTAAGGGAGTAAGCGTGGGCGCGGGAGTTAGCGTGGGCGAGGGCGTGAGCGCGGGCGACGTTAAGGAGTAAGCGTGGGCGAGGAAAATTATCGAGAGTGTGCGACGGTAAGGGGGTAAGCGAGGGCGAGGGAAATTTCTGAGCGTGGGCGAGGCGGAATGGAGTAAGCGTGGGCGAGGGAGTGCGTGTGTGGGACCGGGGGGAACCGAGCGTGGACAACGGGTAGAAGAAGCGGTGCGACGAATTGATTGGCCCTCCCCTTAGGAACGCGGACGTCGGCTACATCGATGCGGTTGGCGAAGAAGAAGAGTTGGCTATGGGGACGATGAGCATATGGGCACGGATAGCTATGTCGAGTGAAAATGTGACGTAGTAACGCGGAATTGGCCGCAATGGAGTGATGGTCCTAGAGCGTAAGGCCGAAAGTCGTGACAGGCGCTGGGATGGGGCTGGAGCCTAGCTATACTAATAAGCTATGGCTGTCGCACTAGCTTGGCGAACTAAGCGGATTCTGTCGACCTGAATTACACGTTTCCAGTGACATCTTAAGTCATGTGCACACCACAGCCCAGAGTGGTTGACAAGGAACCCTAAACTCTGCGACTTCCTTCCGTCCACGAGGTGGAGACCTGGTAACCACCCTGGTTCGGGAGGGGAGGTGTTAACATCTCCCAACTTTTTTTGTAATTCAGGCTGCGGGTTATAACTTCCCACCCCCGCCCATGCACTACCATTATCAGCCATTGTCATACTTTCCGCCCCGACCCAGCAGCCTTAGCTTCAAATTCTTAGAGCTCCCTTACTCGCTGCTGCGTTTCTGGTCTACACGCCTATTAGGTTTCATCCACACCACTGACGGCACGTCCGCCGTCGCATTATTGAGTCTCAATGGCATTCCACGGTCCTGGCGCGGCCCTGTTAGTCGGCCGCCTCATTCCTTGCAGTTTTTCGACATGATTCGCTTTCCGCCAGATAGGCCTTTCACTTAAGCGTCGCCCCAGCGCGCACGGAATGAAGCGACCCCACAGTCCTCACGCGATTGGTTCGCGAAGGTCGACGCGTCGCGCGATCAGTGTGGCGAAGGATGCGAACAATGATGCCGCGGATGTGACGGCAGCCAGGGACATCTTAAGTCATGGGACTCCGTCGGATGGCCCCTCCGAGATTCGCGGAGCACCGTTGGATGATGGGCCGACGGGTGCAGTGCTAGATCGAGTCGCGATGGACTCAGAGCATGGGGAGACGGGGGAGCATGGCGGGAAGGCCTTTGAAACGCAGATTGAAGGTGGGGATGCGGGGAAGCATGACTGGAGGGCCTTTGAAGCGCAGAGAGAAGGTCGAAAAGCGGGTCATCCTGTTGTGGTTTGTTACCACCGGCGGCGCGTGCGGATCGGAGGGGATGGATGGGAAGATTATCTGCGAGATCATCAACCGCGGCGCGAGGCAGCGCAAAACGGGGGAGTCCCCCTCGCGCCTCTCGGAGACGGGCGCACGCTGGCGGAGAAGGGCGCAACGGCGGAGACGCGAGGGATGGCGGAAGATGGGGAAAACGCAGGGAGTCGGAGAGGAGAGGGCGGAGACTGCGCGCATGGCGGAGTGCTTCCGAAGATGAGGCGGGATGACGTGGCGATGCGCGTGATCGGCATGATGGGCGCGGCAGCGGGGAGCGCGGAGGAGCTTTCTTTTGAGCAGCTGGTGGGTGTGAGCGGGTGGTGCGCGCAACGCGCCGTGGAGGTCCGCGTGGCGGCGCAACTGGCGGAGAGGCTTGCGGAGGTGGAGGAGCGGGTGAGAGCGGAAGAGCGGAAGAGAGAGGAGGAGCGGGAGAGAGAGGAAGAGAGGGTGAGAGAGGAGGAGAGGAGAGAGAGGAAGAGAGGGTGAGAGAGGAGGAGAGGAAGAGAGAGGAGGAGAAGGTGAGAGAGGAGGAGAGGGTGAGAGAGGAGGAAAGGAAGAGAGAGGAGGAGAGGGTGAGAGAGGAAGAGAGGAAGAGAGAGGAAGAGAGAAAGAGAGAGGAAGAGAGGAAGATAGAGGAAGAGCAAAAGAGGGAGGAAGAGCGAAAGCGAGAGGAAGAGAGGAAGAGAGAAGAAGAGAGGAAGAGAGAGAGAAGAAGAGAGGAAGAAAGAGGAAGAGAGGAAGCAAGAGGAAGAAAGGGAGAGAGATGAAGAGAGGAAGAAAGAGGAAGAGCGGAAGCACGAGGAAGAGAGGACGAAAGAGAAGGAGAGAAATAGGATAAGGCGGGAAGAAAAGAACAGGGCACGTCAGGAAAAGTGGAATAAATGGAGAGAAGAAGAAAGGAAGAGATTGAGCGAGCTCGTGAGGAAGAGAGTGAGAGAGGAGGAGGCAAAGAAAAGGCAAGAGGTGGAGAGAAAAGCGCGCGAGGCTGTAGCGAGGGCGGAGAAAGCAGAGAGGCGCAAAAGGCAGCTAAAAGCGGCGTTGAAGGAGGCAGAGGGGGCGGTGGCGGGGCTAGAAGAAATTATCGTGGAGGAAATGGAGGAGGTACTCGTGCGAGCAGAGCTGCTTCGCTGCAGGGTCAACGCAGAGGCGCAGCCATTTCAGGATGAAGCCGGTGCAGGGTGCAAGCGTGCTCGCATGGCTGATGGCTCTGCTGCTCTCCGCATGAAAGAGGTACGTGCCATACGTGTCACAGTACATGCCATAACCTTCCAAAGCCCGCCCACCCCATGCCAACAACTCGATTGCCAGCATCCCATGCCCCCATCCCAGTCATCCTCATGCCATTCTCTTGATATCTCATGCCATTCTCATGACATCCCATGCCATTCTCATGACATCCCATGCCGTTCTCCATTCGGTCATTTTCGCCCCTGCGCCTCTCTCCTCGTGTGTGCTGCCTGGCTGCACCTCAAGTTCCTTTCCTCCCATGCAAAGGCCGCGAGGGAAAAGGCGCAGGAGGTGAGGCGGAAAGTGCGTGCGCTGTGGGAGAAACGCGCTGTGCGTTGCGGGGCGAAGCAGGTTGAATTGGAGGGGGAGGAGGAGGAAGAGGAAGAAGATGAGGAGGACGAGGAGGAGGAGGAAGAGGAGGAAGAGGAGGAAGAGGAGGAGGAAGAGGAGGAGGAGGAAGAGGAGGAAGAACGTGAGGAAAAGGAGGGTGCAATGGAGGAAGGCGTTGGTGATAACTACGACTCGGTGCAGGTGAGCAGGTGAAAGCAGAAGCTGGGTACCAGAGTAGTGATGAGAGTAGTGGCAGTGAGGAAGAGCGTGAAGGTGAGGATATGAGGGGTGCAATGGCGGAAGCAGTTGGTGATAACTACGACTTGGTGATGGTGAGCAGGTGAAATGTTTGAGGCGCTCCAAAAATTTTGAGGACTTTTGAGGCGCCTCAAAAGTGATAACTACGACTTGGTGCAGCTGAGCAGGTGAAACCAGAAGGAATAAGTACTGAAGCTGTGTGCCATAGGGAATTTTCGAGGCCTCTAGCTTTTGTGGCGCCTCAACATTCGAGGCCTTAACTAGTCAAGTGGTTACTCTTGGTACTGCTGCACTCTACACTAGCTGTTGAAATCCCTCTCATGTGATGCTTCCTTTCCCCGCTCCTTCTTCCTTGCGCTTTCATTCTTTCCTCTCGCCCAACCAATGCACCCACACACCCACCAACCCCCCCCCCCCCCCATCGATCTCCCCATCGGCCAACCCCCATCTCTTTTCCTTGTCCCTCTCAGCCCCACGCTCAGGCTTCTTCCGAGGGGCGTGATGCGGGCCAGAGGCTTAAGTGACTTTTGAGTCGACTCAAAAGTCATCTCCCCATCGCCCAACCCCCATCCCTTCCCCAGTTTCCCTCTCAGCCCTGCGCCCAAGCACGTCCCGCGGCAATCAGACTTTTTCCGAGGGGCGTGATGCGGGCCAGAGGCTTAGGCGGAGATGCTGGTGGGTGCGGAAGGGAAGGGGAGGAGGGGAGGGAGGGAGGGGATAGCAGGGCGCGGGCAGCAGGGGGGCAAGGGGCGCAAGCAGCACAAGGGGCGCAAGCAGCGCAAGGGGCGCAAGCAGCACAAGGGGCGCAAGCAGCACAAGGGGCGCAAGCAGCACAAGGGGCGCAAGCAGCACAAGGGGCGCAAGCAGCACAAGGGGCGCAAGCAGCACAAGGGGCGCAAGCAGCACAAGGGGCGCAAGCAGCACAAGGGGCGCAAGCAGCACAAGGGGCGCAAGCAGCACAAGGGGCGCAAGCAGCACAAGGGGCGCAAGCAGCACAAGGGGCGCAAGCAGCACAAGGGGCGCAAGCAGCACAAGGGGCGCAAGCAGCACAAGGGGCGCAAGCAGCACAAGGGGCGCAAGCAGCACAAGGGGCGCAAGCAGCACAAGGGGCGCAAGCAGCACAAGGGGCGCAAGCAGCACAAGGGGCGCAAGCAGCACAAGGGGCGCAAGAAGGACAACCAGGGGCGCAACGAGTGGTGCTGGATGGTGCAGGGGTGGAGCCAACAGTGGTCGAGGAGGAAATTTTGCATGAGACTTGGTTCCAGGAAAGAAAGCGGCTCCAATCCGAGGACGATATAATCAGATTCGTGCTGGCCCAGAAGGGAACAGGAGCAGCAGCAGCAGGAGGAGGAGGAGGAGGAGGAGCAGCAGCAGCAGCAGCAGCAGGAGGAGGCGGAGAAGCAGCAGCAACAGCAGCAGGAGGAGGCGGAGGAGGAGCAGCAGGAGCAGCTGAGCCATCTCAGGAGCTCACCATTTCAGGCCTGGAATCCCCTTTCGACGACAACCCAAACCGCAGCCTCGCCTATTTCCTCACCGCTGGTCCCACCTACCGCCCATTCCTCTTCGCCTCCCTCTCGTCCCTCACCCTCCACCGCCTCTCCCCCATCCCCGCTCGCGCCCTCCTCGCCCTTGCCAAGTTCCCCTCCCTCTCCTCGCTCTCCTTCCAGAAAACCTCTGTTAGGCCAGGGGACCGATTCCCATTCTCGTGGTTCTCTCGGCTGCACAGGCTTGTGTTGGACTGCCCAGACCCGCACCACATGAACCTCGACTCTCGCGCGGCCCCTAGGCCGCAGCAGCCGTTTGGAAATCTAAGGGAGCTGCATGTGAGCAACGTGAGCGACTCGCTGCTGCGAGACGTGTGCTCTCTGGAACACCTTGACGCCTTCTCGTGCACGTGCAGCGAGGAAGTGACTCTCTACGGCTTGAACCAGCTGGAAAGACTCACCAGGCTGACTCGACTCCAAGTGGCGCCTGCAAACCTGTACGATCATTACCTGGAGCTGCAGTTTCGGAGTGATTCCCTACCGGAGGTATCCAGGGTGTGCAAACGGCTCGAGCCCACCCCCATGGGCGTTTGCGAGTGTGCTGACGGGTTAGATCACCCCGAGCACCCGTGCTTGGATAGCAGCGTGAGGGAGGTGGTGGGTGCTCTGCCGAACCTGCAGCATGTAGGCGTGCACGGGGTGCAAACCAGCAGTCAAGACCTGCGAGCGCTGGCCTCTCTCACACACCTCATCACTCTCCACGTCACCGGCACCAACCTGAAGGACGTTGGATGGATCAGGAGCTTTTCTCAGTTGAGAGACCTGGGACTGGCTGGATGTAGTCTGCATGTGGATGGATGGCTTCAGGGGTGGAGCCAAGCCCTGCCGCACTTACAGTCGCTGGATCTTTCAGCTTCGCGGGTCAGCTCCAAGGGCGCTGCTAAGCTTTACTTATTTAAGCGTTTGGAGCACTTAAAGGTGCAGCAGTGCTGCAACCTGCGCAAGGCGTTTCTGTATTACATGAAGAACGTGACGCAGTTGAGGGAGTTTGGCGTGGGCTTTAACAATGTGTATCCGTCCTGGATGAAGCATTTACTGGAAGGGAGGCATGTGGTGTGGGTGTGCGTGCGGGGGTGTGGGTGGAGTGATAGGCAGCTGTGCAATGCTCGACACCCGTGGATTGATGTGGTGCAATGATGCTGTTAAGATGTATGGCATGTGCTGGGACGCTGGCATGTGCTGGGATGCATGGCGTTTGATGGGATGCATGGCGTTTGATGGGATGCATGGCGTTTGATGGGATGCATGGCGTTTGATGGGATGCATGGCGTGTGTGTTAAATTGATGCATGGTGATTCGAGTAACGCATTTGAGGATATGACGGGGTGTAATGAGACTGCTGGAGTGCATGGCATGTGTGTGCAGCAGTAAGCATGCAATGGCATGCACAGAGTATGATGGAAGGGTGGCTTGTGCCATCTGTTGTATGGCATGTGGTGTATGGCCTGTGTTGTCTTGCATGCGTTGCATGGCATGTGGTGCATGGCATGTGGTGCATGGCATGTGTTCATGCCATGTGGTGCATGGCATTTGGTGCATGGCATGCGTTGCATGGCATGTTGATTCATCTAAGTGCCTTCTAATTACACCATCCCACATCTCGTCCACTCGATCACACCTCCAGCTTGGCCCTTCTCTCCTCTGTGCCCTTGTTTCCCCAGGCTCCCTCCTCTCATTCCCACCCCCACCTTAAGCTGCAGTGCCAGTTTGACCTGATATTGTCTCCTGGTAATCCACTGCTCATCCTATTTCATAGAGTGCTTCCCACCAATAAGATTCGTCCAAATGTTTGTTAGAGTTTCGTGCAAATGATTGTTAGATTCGTGCTCATCGTGTTTCAAACAAATTCTTGTTAGAGAAATTCAACTTCTACACCTTAGCATTATGTAAAACTGAGATATAAAATAGTGAAGGCGGATCCAACTTGAAAACGTGCTCGGAAGAAGCAAAACTGGAACGACGTTGGGCTGTGTAAAACACTGTTCCGGGCATCGCCCTTCCACCGATAACACACATGATTCGCCCCCGCCAAAACAAAAATTCTGATCGTGCTCGTGCGGTCGCATTTTCTGCATGCGACATTTGCACGACAGTTGTTTGTCGTGCATTTCGATGGTTGGACCCAACTTCGACTTTCAAGCTGGACCTGGGTTCCACATACACACACTTCAACTCCATTCATGTAGCTTGCCTAACTCACGTAGCTTGCTTAGCATAGAGTAGCCGAGAAGAGGAATTAGGCTAGTGCGGCATAGAACTGAAATTATCATTAGATTGTGTGTGATTCTTCGCCGCCGTTGTTGATTAGTGATATTGTTCTCGCGATCGCAGAGAATCACATTCCCGTTGCCCTTAATCTCACCCCTCTCATTGCTAACCACGTTGTCCTCGCGTTCGCCGAATCGCTTTCCCATCTCCCATTCCGTCGCGCGTCACGTCTCCATCTTGTCGTTCGTCCCGTCGCGCGTAACGTCGCCCTCTCTCCCCTCGTGACCACCTGTCGCCCTTTCTCCCGCCCCTCCCTTCCCATCGCGCGCTCTCTCTCTGCGCCCTTCCCGTCGCCCTCTCTCTCGCCCCTCCCTTCCCATCGCGCTCCCTCTCTCCGCGCCCTTCCCGTCGCGCTCTCTCTCCCCTCTCCCTTCCCATCGCGATCTCTCTCTCCGCGCCCTTCCCGTGGCTCTCTATCGCCCTCCCTTCCTATCGCGCTCTCTCTCTCCGCTCCGTCCTCTCTCCCGTCCCTCCCTTCCCATCGCGCTCTCTCTCTCCGCGCCCTTCCCGCCCTCCCGTATCCCGTCGCCCTCCCTTTTCCCGTCGCCCTCCCTTTTCCCGTCGCCCTCCCTTCAAATCGCCTTCGCGATCTGCTCTCCCGTTCCATCGCCCTCCCGTTTCCCGTCACCTTCTGTCTTTCTTTTCATTCGCATCACCTTGCACGTCATAATTTTCCCCCTCGTGCTGCTGTTCTTTTCTGTTTTTCGTAATTGCACCAACCCTAGGCCTCGAGTCCAAGGCAGCACCGTGATCAGAGCTCTACTAGCTCTGACAGTGTTCAAACACTTTCACTCAGGTCGTATCCCAGCCTGGTGGCAAGAAGTTGGTGGCAAGAGAATTGCGCACGCGATTGGTCCAAAACAGATGCTCGGCCAATTCGATTGGTCAACAGTTTTTTTTCACCAATAGCGTACGCGAACTTCTTGCCACCAACTTCTTGCCACCAGGCTGGGATACGACCTCATAACCTTTAGGGCGTGTTCGTTTTTCCCTACAATGTTCGAACTTTTGTGGTAACCATCTGTCGCGAATGTCGCATAAAGTGTTCGCCAAGACCTCGTTTTGAGAGTATCCGCTTTGGGACACGCTCTGGGTTCGAATCCAGTGCCAACGCATGTGTTGCCAACGTTCGAACTAGGCACGATTGCACGAATTCGAATCCTGGCTATGTGCGACGCCACAACTTTGGTGTGCGACTCTCATGACCTTTGCGACATGCAATCCAGAATTGGAGGGAAACCAAATGTGTACGGTCAATCTTGACATGTGCGGCGCGGCTGAAACAGGCATTGCGAAATTGTCTAGGCCAGCCCACACATGTCACCCTCGTACAAATACAGCTGCAAACCTCGTCGATAGTTGTGCCAGTTCAGTCCGCTCGATAGTTGATTTTTCCTAGCACAGCCATGGCTACCAATCAGCCCACTGACGCTACAGACGACTCCAACAACTCACCCCCTCAGCCGCCATCTGCGCCACCCCTTGCTCGTGCCACCGGCACTGCCCCAAGCACTGCTATTAATCTTGACGACATGCCAGCCTATAGTGACGACCTAGGGGATCAAGACGCGGCGTTTGCTGCTAGTGACTACGGCGACGTTGATGACGACCTAGACGACCTCGACGACGTCGACTTGTCTGACGACGAGGCTCCGGATGGGACTGCTACGGCTAACACTCTGGCGCGCCGTGGCGATAATGGCAAACGTCCGGTCGCCACTGGTGCGCGCTGGGTGCCGGTAGAAGAGCATCAGCTCGCAATCGTGCGCCACGATCTCCACACCCAAGTGGAGGCGCAGAATAGGCTTCAGGGGCAGAACATCTACACTACTGTCACCGAGGAGCTTAAGAAGCGGCATCCGGAGTGGCGTCACACATGGCAGGCGGTCAAAGCCAAGCTTCTCCGCATGGAGGCTCGCTACCGCAAAATCCGTGACAAGATTCTCAAGAAGAGCGGTCGCGGTCGCCCGTTGAAGCTCCCACCCTGGTATGAGCTGTTTGATGTAATTTTTGGCGAACGGGAGAACGTAAACCCCACCCATCTTGCGGCCAGCACGACTGCCCCTCCGCGGGCTGCTACAAACGAGCAAACCCCAAGGCGTGGCGGCCAGATCACCAGCGGTAAGGGCTGCGTTTCTGTATATTTGTAGTTTAAGATGTCATGTTTCCTAACCCGGGATCATGAGAGGACCACGTATGCAATACATTCTGCCCTTGCAGGCATTCCGCCTCTGCATGCTGCAAATCGTACTGCATTGACAAATGTCATGGCTGGGGAAGGGTCTTCCCGTGCACCGCGCGTCAATTATCCCGGTGAGAATTATCACTAGAACGTTAGAAATACGCACATCAATTATCATTCCACCACCACATACACCCTACACTAACATACTGCCCCCCATGTCAACTACCCCCTTGCCCGTGGCAGCACCAGTGGCAGCTCCTACGACTGCCAATCCTACTCGCCCTCAGGGTCATGTGAACCTGCAGGCGTCGCCTACTCCCGGGACCCGCTCGTCAGTTGCTCCCGCCGCGGCGACGGGTGTTGCGATCCGTGGCGGTAGCGTCGTCCGCCGGACGGGGACGCCTCCTGTGGGAGAGGGGAATGCGGATCCGCGTGACTATGGGATGCATCGCGAGCGTGGCAAGGCTGAAAGGCAGGGGATGATTGATGAAATGGCAGAGCGTATGGCTCGAACGGTCAAGGGCGTACTTGCAGAACAGTGGGTGGAGTTTGAACGTCTTACCCGAGAATTGGCCGGCTCAAGGAGGGATGACCGAGCCTCCAGGAAGCGTAAAAGTACCCCGCCAGTCGAGATTCGGAGTGAAGCCGGGCGTGGAGGGGCGGTAATGCGGTGCGTTTCGCCACCGGACCCGCAAGCCACCAGAGGTTGCGCTCGCGGGGGACACCGAGGCGAGGGCGTTCGCCGAGCACAAGCTCGATGTTGTGAATCACCACGGCTGCTGAAACCGTGGCCACAACCCGCCCGATGTGACTCTCCATGCGGCCGTCCAACACCCTCCATTTGCCTTTGAGTCGGCCAAAGACCTGCTCCACTACCATTCTGGTCCGAGACTGTTGCAAGTTCCAAACATGCATAGCACTAGGTAGGGGCCTGCCGGGAGTAGCACGAAATGGAGTGTATGTGTAGGAATGTAGACCATATGCGGCATCGGACACAATAACGTAGTCATGTAGGTCTCCCGCTTCGATCCTAGCATGTGCAGGACTATTGTTGAACACACGGGCATCATTGACGGAGCCCGGCCATCCTGCAAAAAAGTCCCAAATGTAGCCGGCAGAGTCGCATATGATTTGTAAAATGATGGAGAAAAAGCCTTTTCGATTGCGGAAGTCCTCTCGGTGAATGCCCCAGCCCCGCGTTCGGATGTAGGTTCCATCAATGGCGCCCACGACTCCGGGGATGCCTCCTCTCATGCGAAATTCCGCCGCCATATGCCCCAAGTCGTCGGGCGTTGGCCACTTAACCCACTTCGGGACCAGCCAGGTCGTCACAAACACGATGAAGATGTCGTAGACTTTTTTTGCGTAGGAGACACTGAATCCAAAGTGAAGGCCGAGCTCCCTGTAGCTCCATCCATGTCCCATCCGAGTGAGTGCCAACGCCACTTTCACAAAGTTGCCGTCGGGCTGGTTCGGTCGCCCGAATCCTCTGAGCTCGTAATGCCGCACGAGGTAGACATATACGCGACGGTCAACGCGCAGGTAATCGTAAAAGCGGGCGTCGGGAAGCTGTTGCAGCAGTCGCATCCAACGCCATCGGGCGTCTAAACGGTCCCCACGGACGAAGACTCGAGTCGTCATCATGGTGGCCGCGACAACCATGTCGGCGATGGCGTTGGGCAGCGCCACTACGAGGGGGAGCACGAACGAATGCACGTAGCCCTGCCATATGGTGGCAAGCAGCTGGAGAAGGCGGCGGAGAGACATGGCGTGAGAAGTGGTCCCTCTAGTGCCACTAGAGATGTGTTGTGCATTGTCGAGTGAGTTTGTGCATGCTTTGTACTTGAGCAATGTTGCTAGCACTCTGCATGTCAAGAATGTTTTGTCTGGGCGCTTCGATGTTTGTGCGGTTCGATGTTGGTGAGTTGTTTGGTGCATGGCTTTCATTGGCTGGTCACATGTTTGCTGGAAATGTGCGACTTTGCTAACTTGGCTGCGACACTTTGCAATTCTGCTGCGCGGCCCGCTGAAATCCGAATATCGAGGTGTGACATATTTGGGACCATATTGTTGGTCAAGGTTTCCAGCTCGGGTGACATAATAGGGGACCATGTTCGAATAGTACAATTCGATTTTTGCAAACCCTTAAAATTCGAATTCGAAATTCGAATTTCTGACCCCCCCGACAAAACGAACACGCCCTTATGTGTGTCTGCTTGGAATTCAGAGGCGGATGTTGCTAGTTGTGAATTTGGTGAAGTGTTGGCTCTAGTGAATGAAGGAGTGCTCGTCGCTCAACCGTGCGCCAAAATCGCACATGTACATGTGCAAGAACCTAGCTGCCAATCAAAACCGAGAATGAACTTTCGTTCCTGGTCCAATACGAAACTCGTCTGAAGGTCGAAAAAAAAACGCACACAGAGCTCTTCCAACTTTACAAAACAAAACAAAAATACTTCATCTTCAAGTGGACCCAACTAGAAGGGGGGGGTCACTATTTTGTCTTGTTAGAGAAATTCAACTTCTACACATTAACATTATGTAAAGGCATCTAGACACAGAGGTACCGTATCGCCCCGGATAGTAGCGCATATGCGCTTATAATAAAATCGATTTTTTTAGGGGGGGCGCTTGTAAATGAGGATTGGGCATAAGCGCATGCGCGTATATACGGTAAAAAATGAAATTTGTTTTTAAGGTAACCAAATCGAAGCCCTTTCTAAGGAGAACACGACCGTGAAACGTTCACGCGTATTCATGCACGAAATGCAGGCCAAAACACCTGCGACTCGAGTTCCCACCGCACAAAACCCGTCCCACAGCAATGCATCTGCCAACGCTGACTGGGAAACTGCCGTGCGGCCCAATCAGGAGGCAATTCGATGCCAGACAGGAGCATCGTGATCGATCCCTCTAGAAGGGGGTCGAATATGCCCTGCCAGCTATGCATGTGACGGGCCGCGAACCCTCCTCTGCAGGTTTAGGCAGGGGGGTTCCTGTCTCTCATTGACGAGGATCCCGAGCCGCAAGGCCGAAGGGGTCCCTTCAGAACTTCATTCTTGTTCTCATTCTTGCACTTTCATCCTACCGTTCCTCATGTTTTGCCCGCCAGGCTGCGAAAGCCATGGCGGAATTTACCGGCACGCACTTTCTGTTCAAGAAAAAGCCTAAGCCAGCATGGCGAGTTGACGCTGACGGCTGGTACAGCCGTGTCCCACCAGAGCCTCCTGAGCCACCACAGCCTCACGCGCCACCTGCGCCGCCATCTCCTCCAGCGCCTCCTGTGCCGCCATCTCCTCCAGCGCCTCCTGTTCCTCCCAGTCCGCCCGTGTGTGCAGGCTCATCGCATCCTCCCGTGCTCACGCTCCTGCACCCGTCGGCGTTCGACGAGTACCTGTCGGAACCTGACAGCAACAAGCCCCCCGACGTCTACGTTCGCGCTCCACCCCCGGCACCACGATGGGGCCATCCGCAAGATTGCGCGTGGGACGAATCTGCTGTGGGCGCTGACAACGACGAGGCCGA